CATGTTAACTTTTCTCTTTGCCTCCAATATATGTCTGGGGGAGTGTTGATGGTGACTGCAGCAGGCTGAGGGAGTCCCTGGATTTTTTTATTTAGGGGGTTGAATCAGACAGACTTGGGTTGGAAGCTAACTGGCTGAGTAGTCCTAGCATATCTCTATGTTTCAGTTTCCTTCTGTATAAAAAGGGCATAAAAATTCCACCAAATCCATGGAATTGACAGGAGAATTAAAAGGGATGATAGCCCTAGCCAGTTTGGCTCAGTGGATAGAATATTGGCATGTGGACTAGAGGGTTCCAGGTTTGATTCCAGGCATGCAGGAAGTAGCCAATCAGTGATTCTCTCTCATCATTGCTGTTTCTCTCTCCCTCTGCCTTCCTCTCTGACATTAATAAATTTTTTTTTGAAGGGATGATAATGCCAGGAAAGAGTTATCTCAGATTTTGGCACTGGGGCAATTTACCATTATTATTGTTATTATTGGGAGTAGATGGGAATAGATGAGGAAATGGAGAACAAGAGAGCAGAGCAGATCCTTTGAATTTATTTAGTAAATCATTGACTGAGCCAACATCAAAATCAGAGTCTTTTGACCAGCACACCAACCAGCAGAATATGCTATTTTCTAATGCATTGCAGCAACACCTTAAACAGAACTCCTCAAATTTCCTGAATTTGGGAAATAGGAAACACTGTATTTTTATTGTTTTAGAAATTGTTAGAGAGCTGAAAGGAGCCCTGCGGTAGCTTTTTGCTGTCATCTGGCCCAAGACTACGTAGAAAAAGAACATTATTATCTCTCAAATGTATGATACTATAGAGTTCATTTCAATTCCATTTTACAAATAATTATTGAGCATTTCCCATGGGCCAGGCCCTGAGCCAAGAGCTGGGAATGTAGAAATGAATATATAACCATGCTTTGTAGGTTTATAGTCAGGCAGATTATAAGTTAATAAAGCATTTTTATACAGTTATCATTCAATATTTATAGAAATATGAGACAAATATTTCAAGTATAGATATCATTTGACAGAGGAGGAAACTGATACTCAAGATTAGCTAGGTCAAGCAATTAGCTAGAAGTTGTCAGAGATTATCTGACTATAATGCTATTTTATTTGTTTTAGATAAGTAAAGTCCTACTTTATTTGTGGTTAAGTAAAATACATTTTCTAGATGATGTTAATAGATTATTCTGACAATTCTAGATAAGTTACTGGTTAAATAACCTCAGTTAAATTAATTAACCGCCCAATAAATTTTTGCTTTGCTAAAATTAATTACTACGAATATTAAATAAAGCAAAAAAAATTGTGGTCAAAGTTAGGTGCGGATGCATAGTAACCAGGGAGATAGTTGATTATAAAAATCAAAGGAATCCTATCATGGCTGTCATAATATACATGCAAATAAAAGTGTTTGGTCAATACCTTGTATGTGTGTAAGTAAGTAGATTAATACACTAAATGTGAACTGAAGAAAATTTAGAAAACAATAGCTAAAAATAAAGGAAAGGAAGAGGAAATTTCTGTTTATTGGATATACACACCAGGTATAAGTTGCAAAGTCAAATTTTCAGTATTGAATCAATATTCAAAATAAGCTATTGAAGGAGGTTTCAGATATTATAGACACCTATGTAAATGTGTGTAAATAAGTATGAGAACATGTCAAGTCATGTAATGTCTCTGACTGTCTGTTTTCTCATCTCTAAAATGAGATGCTTGTGTGGAATACTACATGGCCATAAAAAAGAAGGAAATCTTACATTTCACAACAGCATGGATGGATTTGGAGATTATTATGCTAAGTGAAATAAGCCAGTCAGTCAGAGAAAGACAAATACCATATGATCTCACTTACATGTGGAATCTAATGAACAAAATAAACTGACCAACAAAATAGAAACACAAGCATGGATACATGGAACAGCTGGACAGTGTCAGAGAGGTGGGGGAGGGGAGGACTAGATGAAAGAAGGTGAAGGGATTAGTCAAAGAACATATATGCATAACACATAGACGAACAACAGAGGGAGGTGGAGAGGGGACTGGATGAAGGTGGGCAAAGGAGGGTGGAGGTGGGAACATCTGTCATAGTGTCAACAATAAAAATAAAGTAAAAAAATGAGCTGACTGTGCCATTAGACATCTGAAGTTTTTCTCATTTTAATATTTCTACAGTTCCATGAGCAACCAATGTCCATTTTCTTTGAATGACACACATATTTCAGGGGAAAAAAAGAGTGAATAATGATTGAGTAAAAGCTAATAGGTTAAAAAAAAGGACTAATAAGTCATTCAAATCAAGGTGGTGCTGGGGCATCTTGCAGGGTTTTATAATTACTAGTTAAGCTATCTTGAGGAAGTAGGTGCTTTCAACTTGTTGTCAACATGGAAGGCTGTTTTCTAGGCAATGAATTTATTCTAGAGACAATGACTGCAACATGTTTGGCAACTGAAGGACCCATAATCTACACTGAGCTAAAATAAACTCATCAAAGACCAAACTGAGAAATTGTGTTATTCCTAGAAATATGCAATCGTCCTCCACCCTGCCCAAGTGAGAAAGAATAGGGAGCCATTGACTATATTATTTACTTGTTGCAAATACAGCATGTTCATTCTCAGTTATTCATATTAATTAGCCATGTTGTGGATTATTGATGAAAAATATTTCATATGAAGCATGTTTCTCCATGCTAGCAATGTTCCTAATTTTGGGTGTGTGTGTGTGTGTGTGTGTGTGTGTGTGTGTGTGTGTATACACCTATGAATGTATCTATATTTAAACAAACATATACCAAGATATATATCTATATATTTATACACACACACACACACACACACACACACACACACACACACACTGAGTGGCCAGATTATTATGATCACCTGACGTTTGTAGGCAAATTAGCTGTAATTTCGCCCTGAAGTTGCTAGAGGGCCAGACCATTATAAATAGGGAAGCAGGTTGTTTACCACGACAGTAGAAGTGATTTTTTCCTGAAGATATGGGTAAACAATGCGATTTAACAGCCTTTGATTGTGGGATATATATTATTATGAGTGGCCAGATTATTATGACCACCTGACATTTGTAGGCAAATTAGCCATACACTGCATCGTATGGGATATGGAAGCCGAAGGCCTGTTCGAACACCTTTGCTGTCTGCAGTTACCAAGATAAAACGTCTCCAATTTGCACAGGAACACAAGGATTGGACAGTTGAGCATTGGAAAAAAGTCATGTGGTC